TGAGTTTAATTACTTTCCACTTGTTATCGAAAAATATTCTGCATATAACTTCGCTCGTTTAGTCTTTAGCTTCCTTTCAATCTAATCATAATACTATTCAGATATACATTCAATTTCTTGTCGAAACCCTTCTTTTCTACTTACCGATGCTTATTATGTATGACACTATAAACTGTGACAATTATTGTTTGTAAGTTTATGAACATCTTAGTGTTGAGGAATTATACTCTCCTCATGTACTATGATCTCCGCGACTCGGAAGCCAACCCACAATCAATAAGATAGATAACAACCGCAATCAAAAAGAAAAAACACCAAGATTTACGTGGTTCGGTTGACCAACTTCGAACTACATACACGGGGCAACAAATACGAGAGATTCACTATGTATCAGGGAGAACTACAAGAGGAACCACTCAACTCTCGTCTTTCAATCTCTCAACATCACATACGTAATCAACTCTCACATTCTCTCCAAAAACCACTCTTTACAATTTTTTGAACCAACAAGGATTGCGAAACTCTCTCCAATATATTTGAATCAGGCTACGACCTCTGCTAAACCTAGATTACAAGAATATTGGCTATCTCTCCTCTCGTTTTCCTTGGTTTATCCTCCAACAGTAGAAGAATATATATAGGGTAACCAAAATCCTATCTCTAGCCTAACTTCCTAATTAGAATAGGATTCAAACTCCTAATCATGATGAAACATAATCTCCTAATCATGATAGATCTCTAATTCTATCTAATTTTTATGAAGTTATACAAAGAATTAAAGACACAAACCCAACAATCTCCATCTTGGATTTGATTCCCAAACTCCCTCGAAGATATATCATTATCGTATTGAAACTTTGCCTCTCCTGCTAGCATCTTCTATTCTTTTACACTTCAAATCGAAGCAACATCACTCTTAATCAGAACACCCGTACTCTAACTTGGATCGCTCGTCTCAAATCATATTGGTGCACCTCTCCTACTCCACACTACGAGCCAAATGCCTCTATGTTCTACATCACTTGGCTTGGGCCGAATATGAGCGTTCATCGTCTTCAAGTCCAATGCCACCATCTCCATCTCTATGTATGTCACTCAGTCGTGCCTGCTTACAAGCTCCACCTAATCTGGCACTATCCTCCTCAAGTCTACACTCAAACAACTCCTACTTCCGCGATGAATAATTATATGCTAACAACTCCACTGCTAGAATCACGTTTGATTCTCTGCACCACTCTCATCCGTCACATACTCATTTATATCATCAAATTTATCTTGTTACCACCATCAGAATTTAGAAGCACTTTCTGACTAATCCGAGCATAATCTAAAAAATTAGACCCTCCCATTGTGTTCAGAGCAATCCAAAATCTAAGAATTAACTCCTGAACCGTCGAAATTCGCCTCCAAACCCTTGATCAGAAGACAAATTAATTTGCATCATCAGATTTGATTTAATAATTTTTTAACCAAACCCTCACCCAAACAGTGTTCCCGTTGCTATAGTATTCCCGCCGCTACAGTACTTTCTTTTTTCTTTTTCTTCATCTTGATTCTTGTAAAGCCGCCAACCTTCACTTTTGCACGACGTTGATCTTGCGAACTCGCTCCTAGATCCTTCACCATGGCTCTGATACCACTTGTTAAAAAACTTTAGTCTCCCCGCATACTACGTTCTCCACGATTCGAAAGCCAACCCGCAATCAACAAGATATAAAACAACCACAATCAAGAAGAAAGAACACTGATATATACGTGGTTCGGTCAACCAACTTCGACCTTGGTCCACGGGGCAACAATATGAGAAATCCACTATATATCGGGAAGAGCTACAAGAGGAATAACTCAACTCTCGTCTCTCAATCTCTCAACCTCACATACATAATCAACTCTCACATTCTTTTCAAAACGCACCCTTTATAATCTTTTGAACGGACAAATAGAAAAATATATATGGGAAACCAAAGCCCTATCTCTAGCCTAACAAACTAATTAGAATAGAAATTCAAACTCCTAATCATGATGAGACCCAATCTCTTAATCATGATAGATCACTAACCCTATCTAATTCTCATGAAGTTATACAAAGAATCAAAGACACAATACCAACAATAATTAGTCAATTCTAGTAGCTAATAATATGACCAAATTGTTGACAACCGTCTCTTTTGTCCTAATATTTAAAACGGGAAACAAGAGCCTTCTTTGTCAAGGAGACCAAAGAAAAAAAATAATAATATCTCTGTTATAGTCGCAAAGTTTTGCTTAAAACACTCTATTACTAGTGACCTAGAATATGTACTTTATATAAAAGAAACTTACTTTTTTCCCCTTATCATTAGTCACCGAGAAGACTGTAAAATATTGAAAACGTGTATTATTTTATGAGGGGTGTTGTGATGTTTATATCCATAATTAACTATAAGCTTATATTTATGATTTAGAAAAGTGAACTTTTTACTCTCAAGAAAAAACGACTCCAAATTCGTATACGTATGTCATAACTCACAGGTAAGAAATGTTGGAAACGAGACAAAAATATCGTCAAAATGAATCGGTGAAAATAATAACTACTTATATTTAAATATATGTGTAGGATAATCATGAATATTAATTGCTGGTCTATATCTTTTTACCGGCAATACGCAAGTAGGTAACTCAAACGAGTAACGCTAACCAGAAGTTTTTACTATTCTTTTATATATCATTTCTAGCTAAGAATGAAAATTAAATATAATCTCTTCACCTAAGAATTTATATCGCGATACTATAACCTAAAATCCTTAACAACGGATTAGTCTGGGATATGCATTTTTTCGCTCGAGCCTCAAGTTTCCTTTTCACTAATATGTGCATATACAGAACGACTAAATATTCTAAGATTAGAATAAAATGCGCAGGCTTAGTTAGTTATCGGACCATCGTGGCCACTCATAAAAACTAATTAATATAGATGCAACACTTGTAGTTTCTTCTGGCCCCACATGATGGAGCTTGATGAATAAAACGAGATCAAAGAGAATGCTTAAAGGTAGTGACATCTCACGGGGACGGCGACGGACGGCGGGCGACGGTCACGAGAAGGGGGAATTTTTAGTTTGTCAATTAGGAGGATGTTTTGGAGTTTTTACCGTGTTTGGGTTATAAAAACATAATTAGGTTTAATGATACAAATAATACCTAGGAAAAAAAAAAAAAAACCCCAATCTTTTTAACCCTCCCTCGACCATTTTCTAATCCCCACGCAAGTCGCGTGTTGCAGCCTAATCTTTTTTATCTACCCTCTCTCTCTCTCTCTGAGTACTGTAACAAACTCGTTTCCACAAAATAATAATAAATAATAATAGTAATAATAATAAGATGCCAAAAAAAGGAAGAACAAAATCCCGAAACTCAACCTCTATAGACGACACCCTGTCTCGAGTTGTTTACCTTTTTTAACAAATTTCTCCTTCCTTCATCGCTTAGTTCATACTCTGAACCCATAAACCCATTATTTTCTCCATTAAAATTTATAGAGAGAGAGGGGAAAAAAAAAAAGCTTCACAGTGAGATCGAAGGCGTCGCGGATGCTGGGGCGGTTTCGAGCGAGTGGCGCGGACGGAGCGGCGATGGGGGACCGGACCGGTGAGGGACAACGAATTAAGCAGCAATTGAATTGCGAGTCAGCGCATAGTTCTTAGGCCAGTACCTGGTGGGGACGGGGCGCCTGATCGGTTGGCGCAAAGCTGGCGTGAATCTATTGCGTGTTGTCACCTTCAGAGTCACCACTCGTGTCGAACAATTCGTGGGCTACACGGCGTCGGCGCCGGAGGGCGGAGAACCGCTGGCGGGAGGTTGGCTCAAGCCTGTTGCGGGGATTCTTTGCTGCGTCCAAGTTCTTGCGA